TCACCACAACCAAACATATTCTCATTTCTACACCTACATAAAACTAAAAATACTCATTCATCCAAACATATTCCAATTTTCTACACAAAAACCAATAAACTACTATGGAAACATAACCAAACATCCCCAGAGTTTTCAGTTTTCACCCCTGAACTATGGGGTTTGTCACAAACACCCCACTAAATTACAAAACGTAACAAAATAGCCCTTCCGTTTCGAATCTGTTAGTGGGTGATGATTGGCATGTTGACTTTCTCATTTATATCTGATTTTTTATTGTTCCACCTTTTTGGACGCTTTTACCCTTGCATATATATATTAAATATAAATAATTCTTATAACTCTTATATTTATTATCAAATGTAATATATCTTATATTTATTATCAAATGTTATAAATATTTTCGTTTGATTTGGTCCGTAGGTCTTCGTCTTCCTCAAGCCAGCTCTGTCCGTACTCCGGTGGATAAACCTGCAACGCCGGGAGGGGTTCCCGGCGGGAAAGCTCCGACGATCAAGTCAGTGATCGGAATAGAGGAAAAAAGGTGTATGCAATGTAACAGTGATTAGTGTATATTTTTCTCGTATGTGTGCGTATGTTGATTCTCTTATTTATAGATGAGGAAAGCTTGGCCTCCAAGGCTTTCCTTTTTTAGGGTTTCTCTTTTCCCCCAAGTCATGTATCTTGGGCCTGTATTGTCCTGGGCTCGCCTTACCCCGTTTTGGTATTGGGCTGGCGAGTGAAGGTACTCCCACGAGGTTCCGAGGTTCGCGTCATACGACGACTTCGGTCATAGTACCGAACTAAGTCATCATGGGTTCTTCATTATGGGCCTATCATATTGGGCTTATCCTAATGGGCTTATGCTTATTTGTTATTTGTCAAACGAGCCCATATCAACTACTCCCCCCTACTCCTTATTTATAATACGAGTTTGCTCCTTCTCACCTCGTGTTATAAGTACGGAGTACGAGGTGCGAGCTCGGACTTCGGTTCACGTCTGGTTGGTGCACGCAACCTTTCCACTTTTCCTCCATTTAATTACTCTGACATCCCGTGTGGTCGATTCGAGTTCCCTAGGTCATCATGGAAAAATTTCAATCAGTGCTTTCAGCGTCGGATTCGATGCATTCTACATTGAATCTTGGCCGCCCGAAGAAACGGTTATGATTGACCTTCCCTTTTCCCTAGGTCATTATTGAGGAATTTCGATCGGCGCCTCTTGCATCGGGTTCGGGGTGACTTACTTTGAATCTTGGCCATCCGAATAGATGGTCACGATCGAATTTTTTCCTTTCCCTTCTTCTATAAATACCTGGCCCTTGCCATTTTTTAAGATTTTTTTCTTTTTCCACCCTCGTGCTTTCTCTTCTCTTATTGCTTCTTCTCCGGCGAACCTGCTTTTCCGAGACAGAGATCTTATCCTTCGTGCCCATTTTCTACCCCGACAAAGGTACTACTTCTTTCCCCCATCTCTTATTACCCCCGCCTTAACTCTTCGAATTGATAATGTCTGCCCGTTCTCCCGATCCTTTCGGCCAAAAAGTGCCCTCCGGGGAGGGGGGTGAAAACCCCGCTTTTTCTATTTCTTCCTCGTCGGAGGAGGGACCCTACTTCTCTCCCTCGGGCAAACTCTTAGAACGGCCCAAGAAGAGGGGCAGAAAAGAGATTTCGTCTTCTGCGAGGAGTGGTTCTCCTTCCCTATCTGAAGGACGAGATTTGGATGACCAATGGGGACCTAGTACATTAAGCGAGACAGATCTCACTAACTTAGTTCGCGACATAGGCCTCCCTACCGATGTCGAATTGATTCTTCCTTCGCGAGATGATCGCCCTCTAAACCCCCCTTTAGGTTTTAGTACTTGGTTTTCAGAACAATTCTACTTCGGTCTATCTTTTCCCATCTCGCCCTGGTTTTCTGAGATTGCCCAATTATGTAACGTGTCCCTTAACCAATTCCACCCCCATGCCATAATAATCATGACCGGATTTCGCATGCTATGCGCCTGGTCGGGGGTGATTCCCACGCCAGCTCGCTTCCGGAGTGTAATGGTATTAAAGAATTCGAGTCCTTTCCATGTCTCTATCTCGGCTCGTCCGGGTTTTAAGATTCTGATGCCACCTAATAAAACCGATGGGTGGCAAGGTCACTATTTCTTCGCCAGAAATCCTGTTGACACGCCTTATTTGTGTCCTTGGCTCGCCACCCTGCCTGAAAAGAGAAGGGGTAAACCTTTGGCGGTTGACGAATGTGTATTAAAAATGATATCCCACTTTCAACCGAGCCACGGCGTCCCGGATAGCCTCACCAGCTTTCCGCCAATGCTTCGCCACTTCCGTTTTCACGACAACGGCACGTATTCTCTAACTCGGGAAGATTTAGGTGGGTTTGGTTATAACACTAATTATTACTTCGACTCACTGTCTTACTTCGGTCGGTCTGTTTTTTGTTGCTTCGCTAGCTATGTACTTATATGTCTTATATCTCACCCGCGTATCTCCCCTTGCCCGTTTGTTTTGGTGCGTAGATCTAAGGATGAAGAGGATGTTCCGAGGTGACAAGCCGGCTACCCGTCCTTCCGAGCCGGAACCTGGGTTCGAAGCGTCCGAGTTTCAGCGCCCTCTAATCGCTGAATCCGAGAAGAGATCATCGGAAGAAGGGGCTCTAAGGCCCAGGCCATCGAAGAAAAACGCCGCTCCTCCTCGCGCCCGCGGTGGACCTCCCTCGCGAACTGAGGATTCTGAACCTCCTAAACGATCCTCCGCAATAGTTCTCGCCTCGTCACCACCTCCTTCCTCAACCGAAGAGGTGGTAGAGAGAGAACCTGCTCCGAAGAAACGGAGGTCTGAGTTGGCTCTTGGGGCGGCTGGGTCATCTTTACCGGCTGGTTTCGGACTTCATCTCTGCCAAAATGCAGAGAATGCCATTGCTGCATGTCGGTCCCTGGCCTTTCCCACCGACGTTGCCCATTTCGGGCAGATGAGTAAAGGCGACCGACTTGAGCTACTTCTTCACAACATTACACAGGTTTGTCTTATCTCGGTCATGCAGACCAATTCCTTAATTTCATATTTTTTATTCAAGGCTAACCTTGTTTGAACTCCTTGTACGTGCAGCAATTCGCCATCGCTTTCTCGGGTCCTTTGGGATGGGATGATGTCTCGCGTGAGGCATACGATAACCAAAAGAAGGAGGTGACTCAACTTCGAAAAGAAGTTCGGGGCCTGAAGGAGAGTTTGGCGATGTCTGAATCGTCGAAGGAAGGGTTGTTTGCCGAGGTGAAGAGGCTGCAGGAGAGAGAGAAGATCTTACAGGCGGAGAAGGACTCTTTGGGTTCTCATGTCACCAGCCTAGAAGAAAAAGCCAAAGGGCTTTCCAACGAGCTGTACGCAGCCGGAGTGCAGGCCTCTACTAATTTCGCCGAGGGGGTGAAAGAAGGGCAAAGGCTATTCCCGGGGTCGCCCGAGGGTCTCCGTTTTATTGAGGAGTTCGTTCGTCGCTTCTTTCACCGGTTGTGGCGTTCGACTACTTTCACCCGAGAAGCTTCAGGGTTGGCTCGTTTCTTCTTCTCCTCGGCGGTTGCAGCCGTTCGAAAGAGGTTATGTGGTGCCGGCATCGAATTCCCGTTGGTGGAAAGTGAACTAGCCGAAGACCTTCCCGATGACGTGATCCCGGGTTTTGAGGGGGACGTTAATGAGGACCCCAACTTGGAATGGTGGAGGCCGGTTTACCAGGGCCTTGTTGAAGAGTTTACCCGTCAAGGAGCCATTACGGACTTTGTCGGGGACATTGGGGCCCTTGGAATGGTGGTTAGTTCCGAAGAGGCACAGCCAAGCCTCGTTTCACCGACCCCTCCGGATGCGGAGAATCGAAGTGAAGCAGATGCAGCAGTTCCGAAGTGAAGACCCAAAAAAAAAAACTTAACCATTATTTATGTTTTGTACTTTGAATATGTATTTCTTAAACATTACTCTCTTTATTTCCTTTTGCCATATATCCTTAACAATTTCTCCGTTTTTCCATATGCTTGAAATGTCTTTATTCGCTTTTATGTCTGTGTCGTTTTGGGCTTCAGACTTAGTCTGTCAATATCCCCATTGATCTTCGGTAGTGTTTATTCCTTAAGCTTATCCATCAGCTCAAACTTGTACCACTCCTATATTTTAACTTAGTACCCAATCTTAATATTTTGCGTACGAATACGCGAATTAACGCCACAATGAAACACGCGAGTTAACGCCACAATGAAACACGCGAGTTAACGCCACAATAAAACTTTAAACACGCGATTTAACGCCACAATGAAACACGCGAGTTAACGCCACAATAAAACACGCGAGTTAACGCCACAGTAGAACACGCGAGTTAACGCCACAGTGAAACACGCGATTTAACGCCACAATGAGATACGCGAGTTAACGCCACAATAAAACACGCGAGTTAACGCCACAATAAAACACGCGAGTTAACGCCACAGTGAAACACGCGAGTTAACGCCACAGTGAAATACGCGAGTTAACGCCACAATAAAACACGCGAGTTAACGCCACAATAAAACACGCGAGTTAACGCCACAGTGAAACACGCGAGTTAACGCCACAATGAAACACGCGAGTTAACGCCACAATGAAACACGCGAGTTAACGCCACAATAAAACACGCGAGTTAACGCCACAATAAAACACGCGAGTTAACGCCACAGTGAAACACGCGAGTTAACGCCACAGTAAAACACGCGAGTTAACGCCACAGTGAAACACGCGAGTTAACGCCACAATAAAACACGCGAGTTAACGCCACAATAAAACACGCGAGTTAACGCCACAGTAAAACTTTAAATAAATAACACAAGGATTTTTTAACGTGGAAACCCTCCAAATAAGGAGAGAAAAAACCACGGGGCCTAGCCCAGATCGGAAAATGGATGTTTATTAATGACTGTTTTGCCTGTACAAGGTGTGTCTCGATTTCGCTGACTTAATTGCCTCGATCTCCTTTCTCTCTCTTTTTTTTTTTTTTTTTTTTTTTTTTTTTTTTTTTTTTTTTTTTTTTTTTTTTTTATATTACGCGAAGAAGCGTTTCAAATGGATGACATTCCATGCTCGCGGCAATGGTTTCCCTTCTACGTTTGCCAGCTCATATCCTCCACCAGCCAAACATTTTGTGACCATGTATGGTCCTTCCCAATTGGCCTCTAACTTTCCTGTGTGCTTTAGTGCGTCAGCTCGTCGCAGGACGAGATCACCGATCTGGAATGAACGAGACCGTACCCCTTGATCGTATCGAGCCTTGATCAGGTTCTTACTTCGTTCCATGTGTAGATACGCCGCTTCTCGTAGGTCAAAAACCTCATCCAGCTGTGTCCTCAGGGCATCATCGTTTGTCCTTTCATCAAATGTGGCGATGCGGAGTGTGTCCATTGCCACCTCGACCGGGATAACAGCATCGGTTCCGTAAGTTAACCGAAATGGCGTCTCGCCAGTAGCTGCTTTGACTGTTGTCCGGTAAGACCAAAGGACTGAGGGCAGTTCGTCTACCCAACTTCCCCCTAACTCGTCCAGTCTTTTCTTCAAACCGTTGACAATGGTCCGATTTGTGGATTCTACTTGACCATTAGCCTGGGGGTGTGCTACCGCCACGAATTTCTGTGTTATCTTCATTTCCTCGCACCATGCACGAATTTTCTTGCCGTTGAACTGAGTGCCATTGTCCGATACGATGCTTCTAGGCAGACCAAACCGACAACAGATATTCTTCCAGACGAAGTGCATGACCTCGTCCTCTGATATTTTTGATAAGGCCTCAGCTTCGACCCATTTAGTGAAGTAGTCTACCGCAACGATGATGAACTTTTTCCGGCCAGTGGTTTGAGGGAATGGTCCCACTAGGTCAATCCCCCATTGAGCAAAGGGACATGGGGCACTCATGATAATCATCTCTTCCCCCGGTTTATGGATAAGGGGGGCATATTTTTGGCATTGTGCGCAGTGTTGAACGTATCGGTGTGTGTCTTCTTTCATACCGGGCCAATAATACCCTGCCCGATATAACTTCTGTATGAGGGCCCGAGCTCCTCCGTGCTCACCGCAACCACCTCGATGTGCTTCGTCAAGAACGTGTTCAGCCTCCTGCTTTCCCAAACATCTCGCATCGATTGTAGCGAAATTCCTTTTATATAACACCTCGTGCCGCACGTAAAAGTGCCTCGCTTTATACGCCAATCGATTTTGTTCCCTTTTTGTGCCAGTTCGCTCTCCTCTGAAATACTTGAACAGAGGTGTTCTCCAGTCCGGTTCTTCATCGATCAACATGACTCCCGATGTCGGGGTAGGGGCAATGAGGATAGTGATTTTTCTTTCAACACAGTCAGCGACTGACGACCCGATTTTAGCGAGGAAGTCGGCCCGTTGGTTGTCGTTCCTCGGTAGTTGATGCACCGTGCAAGCTTCGAAGGTTTCTTGTACTGCTCGAGCTTTATTCACATACCCCCTCATTCTATCATTTTTTACTTCGTAATCCCCCTCTAGTTGGTGTATCACCAATTGCGAGTCAGAGTATATCCGCACCACTCGCGCTCCGAGCTCCTGAGCGATCTCCATACCGCGGATAAAGGCTTCGTACTCTGCTTCATTATTGGAAACTCGAGGTAATCGGACGGCAAACTCGACCTCCGTTCCTGTGGGATCGATGACTATTATTCCTGCCCCTGCTCCTGTTGCTGTAGATGACCCATCTACGTAAATTTTCCACTCTTTCTCGATTGGTATTCGAGTAGTCTCCCGGATGAAATCTACCAGCGCCTGTCCTTTGACCGAGGTGCGGGGTTGATACTGGATCTCGTACTGTCCTAATTCGATGGCCCATTTAACAATTCGTCCTGACGCAGTAGGTTGGCCCAGGGTTTGCCGAAGTGGTAAACTTGTACGGATTATCATGGTATGCGACAGGAAGTAAGGCCGGAGTCGTCGCGTGGTAAGGACCAGAGCATACGCTATTTTTTCGACTTCAGAATATCTGCTTTCCGACGTAGTCAGGATTTTACTAGTATAGTAGATTGGCTTTTGCTGGTTATTCACCTCTTTGAATAAGACTGAGCTGATTGATTCGTCACCTACCGATAGGTATACGAACAGAGTTTCGCCCTTTTCGGGAGTGCTAAGAATCGGCAGACAAGTGAGGGATCGTTTCAATGCCTCGAATGCGAGCTGACACTCGTTAGTCCATTTGAACTGAGCTGTTTTCCTCAATATTTTAAAGAAAGGTAGACTTTTATCAGCCATCCGTGATATAAACCAGGCTAGGGCTACCACCTTTCCTGCTAAGGATTGAGCCTCTTTGATGGAGCGAGGGGGTGTCATCTGGAGCACGGCCTCAACCTTATCCTGGTTCACCTTAATACCTTCTCGATTAACGACATATCCCAAAAACTTTCCAGCTTGTACTGCGAATGCGCATTTTGCGGGGTTCAATTTCATTCCATATAGACGAAGGGTGGCAAAGGTCTCGGCTAGATCTGCGAGGTGTGTAGAACGCCTTTTGCTTTTAACTAGCATGTCGTCAACGTAGACTTCGATGTTGCGTCCGAGTTGAGCCCGAAACATTCTATCCATCAATCGCTGATATGTGGCCCCTGCATTTTTCAAACCGAAAGGCATTACCACGTAGCAGTAAGTACCCGTGGCCGTGACAAAGCTTACTGCCGGCTGATCCTTCTCGTCCAACGGAATCTGGTGATATCCCTGCGAAGCATCCATCATAATAAGCAGTTCGCAGCCGGCAGTGGCATCTACAAGCTGATCTATGCGAGGTAAGGGATAATCGTCCTTTGGGCAAGCCTTGTTTAAGTCCCTGAAGTCGATGCACATTCGCCACTGGCCGTTGGCTTTTTGCACTAAAACTGCATTGGATAGCCATGTGGGGAATTGGATTTCCCTGATATGTCCGATGTCCAGAAGTCGCTGGACCTCCTTGTGTATGATTTCATCCTTTTCGGTACCGAAGTGCCGTCGTTTTTGTTTGACGGGTCTACACTCAGGTCGCAAATTGAGCCGGTGCACAACAGTACGAGGTGAGATACCGGTTAGGTCACTTGGTTGCCATGCGAAGATGTCTTCATTAGATCGTAGTAACGCTATCAGCTCGTCTCGGAGAGATGGTTCTAAATCCTTGCTTATCCGGGTTTGTTTCATCATACCGGGGACGAGGTCAATCATCATCAATTCGTCCATAGGTTGTACATGATTAACCTTATCTTCGGGGTCAATTCGGGGGCGTTTCTCGTCCCCCAAATCTTCTTTGGTGAGAGTGTCACGTCGCCCCTTTTCTGCTATCTTAACCATCTCAACATAACATGATCTCGACTGGGCTTGATCGCCCCTGACCTCTCCCACCATTCCATCAATTGGAAACTTAAGCTTTTGGTGAATGGTCGAAGGGACCGCCCGAAAGGTATGTAACATCGGTCGCCCTATCACGATATTATACGCGGTTGGTGAACCTTCGACAATGACGAAATTGACAGTTTGAGTGCGTGTTCGAGGTGGCGTTCCTATAGTGACAGGGATTTTAACTTGTCCAACCGGCGTCAGGGATCCCCCCGTGAATCCGAATATCGCCGTGGTGACGGGGAAGATCGGGAGGTCAAGCTCCATTTGCAGGAAACACTCGTAGGATATGACATCCACCGAACTTCCTGGATCAACGAAGGCGCGAGCGACGTCGTACCCTCCAACGTTAATCGTGATGAGGATAGGGTCACAATGGAAATCATCTAGGTCCGCTTCATCTTCAGGACCAAACGAGATAGTGGGGTATTGACGATACTTCGGTGTGGAGATTTGGCAAACTTCATGATTATTTTTGAGGCTACCGAGATGGCGTCTCCTAGCCCGGTGAGTATCTCCTCCCGTAGGACCTCCCGAAATCATCTGAATGTACCCTCTTTTCGGTGCTGGCGGTGGGGGCGGTGCTCGTGGCGGGTTTCCGAACTGGGCCTCACGCTTTTGCCCACGAGGTGGGTCTATCTTCACAAATTCTCCGATCTTATTGTCTCTGATGAGGCGTTCCACTTCATCCTTTAAATGTGCACAATCGTCTGTCGTATGTCCATACTCATTATGGAAACGACAAAAGGTTCCCAGCGTAGGGTCTCGTCGGGGGGCTCCGCGGGCGGTTCGAGGCCACCGAAGATCGGCTCTCTTCTCGATTGAGTACAGTACCTGGGATAGAGGAGCTGTAAGGGGCTGGTATGATTGAAATCGAGATCCTTTAGCATCTGGGGCGATGTTCCGACTGGGAACATTGACATCCCTACGAGGTAACATGGGCTCCTTGCCTCTCTTCGCTTCGCTGACCCGCACGCTTGTGACTTGGTGAGATTCTTCTACTTTCTGCTGGCGGGCTTCTTCTAAGTTAATGAACCTAGATGCCCTTTCTAACAAATTATCGAAATCAGGTGATGGCTCCAGCGCTAGAGCTCGGAAAAATTCATCATCTCTTAACCCTTGCGAAAGGGCCGCCATGAGCACCTCGTCACTGGTAGTCGGGACTTCTAGGGTGGCCGAGGTAAACCGTTTGATGTAACTCCTGAGGCTTTCTTTCTCCTTCTGACGAACGCTGAATAGTGACAGAGAGGTCTTCTTACACTTCTTCGAGCTAGCGAACTGGTTCATGAAAGCTTTGGCAAGTTGTTCAAAAGATCGGATGGTTCCGGCAGGTAACAGACCGAACCATGCTTGGGCCGGACCTGCTAGAGTGGTGACAAAGGCACGGCACTTCACCCCTTCTGTGAGCTGGTGAAGTGAGGCAGTGTTGTTAAACCGACTCAAGTGTTCAGCTGGATCTGACGTGCCGTTGTATTCAAACAAGATCGGTCGGTAGTTAGCCGGTATAGGGTCGCCATCGAGATAACTAGCGAAGGGGCTAGATCTTACGAGATCTCGCGCTGGCCCACTTCGCAAGGCCTTCAACTCATCTATATCGCGTCTTAAACTGTCGACTTCTGTTCTAACGCCCTGACTATTACCCCTTCGGTTCTCTGAATAGCTATCGCCTTCGTCCTCAGCTCGTCCTTCATTCGGAGAACGTCTGGGATCTCTCCTGAGTCGGTTATCGTGAGGTAAATTTTGGGTGTAGTTTCGGATGGCCGCGGTAATCATGGTTTCCACCTCGTCCCGGGTATATGTACGCTCATTGGAAGCCTGAGCGGGGGTTGCGGCTGGCCTTCTTGAAGCAGCTCCGCCATCCTGAAACTCGAAAGAGGGGCTGCTTGGGGTGAAAGGGATCCGACCCTCCTTTTCAGGTGTAAGGAAGCTACACCCCGACTTATCTTTCTGAACGGACGATGGATCAGCACCAGTTGTGTCACGAGCTGCTGCATCCAGCTCCCTTTGTAGGTTTCGGGTAATCGTGCCTTCTTCTTCCATTTCTTCTCTACGTTCTTAACTCAGATCTGGATTTCCAGGGGCAGATCTGGTGTTTTTCCTGGAAATTGTGCTCCAAACTTATAAAGGGTTTCCCACAGACGGCGCCACTTGATTTGGTCCGTAGGTCTTCGTCTTCCTCAAGCCAGCTCTGTCCGTACTCCGGTGGATAAACCTGCAACGCCGGGAGGGGTTCCCGGCGGGAAAGCTCCGACGATCAAGTCAGTGATCGGAATAGAGGAAAAAAGGTGTATGCAATGTAACAGTGATTAGTGTATATTTTTCTCGTATGTGTGCGTATGTTGATTCTCTTATTTATAGATGAGGAAAGCTTGGCCTCCAAGGCTTTCCTTTTTTAGGGTTTCTCTTTTCCCCCAAGTCATGTATCTTGGGCCTGTATTGTCCTGGGCTCGCCTTACCCCGTTTTGGTATTGGGCTGGCGAGTGAAGGTACTCCCACGAGGTTCCGAGGTTCGCGTCATACGACGACTTCGGTCATAGTACCGAACTAAGTCATCATGGGTTCTTCATTATGGGCCTATCATATTGGGCTTATCCTAATGGGCTTATGCTTATTTGTTATTTGTCAAACGAGCCCATATCATCGTTGTTCCTTACGAAGTATTCAATAATATTTAAATTATTAAATTATTAAACAGTCAAAATACAAATTTGTTTTTTATTAAATACAAATAAATTATTTCGAAAAAAAGGAAAATCTATATTGCTCTCAACACTCTCTCTCTCGCTCGACATGTGCACAGAACAAAGCCTTCAAATTCACCTCAAATTTTACAGTACTCATTGGCAAGAAGAAGATTCCTCCTCGTGAAGAAGAAGCTACGGAAATTTGGATGATCCTCTTACCCACAAGCCTCTGCCACCACCCACTCAACCATTATTAGCGAGTCAGCGGACGGACCACAAAATCGAGAGCCATTTGATTCCACCACTGACAACATGGACGAAATTCCTGTGATTGAACCCCATCAACCCCGACCCCTCATAATCTTCATCTTCCTCCAATTCTTGTCCGGTGGCGGCGGGTGCTCTTCAAACGAGAGCAAAGATGTGCAATTTTGGCCGACTTTTGAGGATTATTAGCATATGAGATGATGATTTTATAATGAGCAGTACTTGAGATTTGTTGGTTGACAATGAAATAGCTATGAACCATTTTCGGAAATGGCCAAGACATATGAAGTTGGGATTTAAACGTAAGATTAGAGAAGAATGAGAAGCGTAAGAAGAGAGAAAGGATTTGAGAGGAGAGAACTCCGGTTAAAAATGGCGAGAAGTTGAAGAACATAGAGAGAAAGGGGAGAGAATGGCAAAATTGATGGCCAAATAAGCAAATGAACATTATAACTGACGGTGTTAGTTCATTTGACGTTGACCATAAAAAACAGGGGTCTTTTTGGTATGTTTCGTAGTTCAGGGAGGTATTTGGGACATATCCCATAGTTCAGGGGTGCAAACTGTACTTTCCCTTATTTTTATGTTCAGACAATAACATAATTAGTGTGTAAAATAAATGGCAAATGACAAAAAGGGACATGACAAGAAACTTAAATGCACATTTGTCCACAAAAAAAAACAGTCTTTTAAATAAACCCATCCCATGTCTCTAGTCTAAAATACCCTCCATAATATATTTTTTGTCAATTCCATCCATTATACTCTATCTTCCACATTAACCCCCATTTTAATAATTTTTCGAATTTTTTTTTTCTGAATCATTTTTTTTCATAATTTTTTTTCCAGAATAACTGCAGGAGACAGTAATTTAGCAGCCAAGACAATAATTTCAATTAAAATATTTTTTGTAAGAAAAAAAAATTAAAAAAACTCAACGCCGGAGACCCGGCGGTCAACGGCGACTGGAAAAAAAATTCAGAAAAAAAGAAAGTTATCAAAAAAAATAAATAAAAATCAACGCCAGAATTAAAATTATGGTCAAAATTGGTTAATTGGTGAAATTTGGCTAAATTGGACTGTAAATCATGAAATTGGAGTTGAATCGGGTTTCAATGAATTGAGGGTAATTTTGATATATAAAAAAAGTTCTCCTTATTGCAAATAAATTTAAATGAGCTGGAAATATTTGAAAGACAAAAAAGCTGAATGCCCATTTTTTAATTAAATACTCTTGTCATAGATCTCTTTGCCATTAACCGGTAAAAAAATTAAGAATCTTAAAACAAGGAAATTACTTCGGCCAAAAGATAAATGATTGCGTTCTACCTTTTGTAGAGTTGTAAGCAATAGAAATTACTCATAGTCAATTATGAACCAACCGACACACTTATAGAATTGTTATAAGAAGCTTATTGCAAACCCAATAAAAACGGGTAATCTGCAGCCGTTCGTTATTTATTTTGGGCTCTTTGATATAATCCCCTTAATATTTTTTTTAATAGGGAAAGACTAAAATTATTTTGCACCAGTTGAGAAAAACCTACTCTTAATTTTAGCTACCAATTTTCCCAATTATGTCCCTCCACCTTTAACACTATCTGCCTATTCCCGCCCATGACCCATCAGCGTGTCTTTCCTTTTTTTTCTTTTTTTTCTTTTTTCTTTTTTTAATTATTTATTATTATTTTTTTCGTTTTTGTAACTTTTTGTTTTTTCTATCAGATATATTAATCGACTATGAAGCATATTAAATCGACTATGATGAACTATAGTAGATTAAGGAACCAACTACTAAAAATAACAAATCACAACTACAAAAATGCAAACTCAACTATATTTTACAAAAACAAACAATATACCAACATTATACTTGATTTATACAATTAGAATCAATATACCAAAAATCCGAAAAAAAATTAAAAATTGGAGTCAATGAAGCATATTAATCGACTATGATGTGAAGCATAGTCGATTAAGAATTTGCTACTAAAAATAACAAATCACAACTGCGAAAAAATGCAAAATCAACTATATATTACAAAAACAAAAAATATACAAACATTATAAATGATTTATACAATTATAATCAATAAACAAAAAATCCAAAAAAAATAAAAAAAATTGGAGTCGATGAACCTTAATCGACTACCAGAGCATAGTCGATTAGCTTAATCGACTATGAACATGTACATAGTCGATTAAGGTTTTAACCTGCGCGAAATTCTCTACACGCGCCGTCATCCGCCCAATCCACCAAAAAACCATAAATCTGCCTCCCCATCGTCACCACACCGCCGCCACAACACACCATCACCACCGTACTTTGATATTATAACAGTTTTTTATTACAAATAAATAAATAAAATCACAACTCACATCACAACCAAAGCAGAACCACCACCCATCAAAATCCGATTCCGATCGACAATTTTACCTATTCGCCGCCGATGTAGCAATCGTGGCATTCGAACTCAGAATCACTATCAAAATCATGATCATCTTTATGGTTTTTGTTAAGATCTGCAACGACGACGACGGAGACGGCAAGAGCAACGACGACGATGGCTTCAACGGAATTGGCATCGTTGTTCTGGCGGTGATGTCGGTGGTTGGTTCTTCATCTTCCGATAAGAGAGAATGAGAGAAAAGTATAAAAGAGAGTAAATAAAGAAAAGCAGAGAAGAGACGCGAGAGAAGAGACGGAAAAGAGAAAATAAAATCAGGGTTTTAAAAGAGTATAGTAGACAATTAAGGGTAGTTTTTGAATTATGAAAATATCACTTGGGTGGATATTAGCTAAGGGGGTTTTCTCTAATTATTTTTGGGAGTGGGTGTTTCCTTAACTCATTTTCCTAAATGGGGGTTCTTGCTAATTATCCCTATTTATTTACAACATCAAATTTAATTTTATTCAGCACACAAAATGGTTAGGGTTTATAAGATTAGAGGCATGAAAAAAGCAAACCGCGAAGACGTTGGTTCCAACTCCATGGACATGATATCCGAGTTGCCGAAACACATCTTGTAGAGAATACTTTATTTCCTCTCCCAAAAAGATGTTGTTCGAGCAACTCTCTTGTCGAAATCATGGAGTAATATTTGGTGTACTCGCCCCAATCTTGATCTTAGAGGGCCTTACTTCAACAAAAATAAAAAAAAAGTTTCTATCCTTAGTGGAAAATACTTTACAGCGATACTGTGATCAAAGGTTGTCCTTGGAGGAATTTCACCTTAGTATATGGTTAAAAAAATTTTGGTATCACGAATCGGTTTCGCTGCTCGAAAAATGGATCCCAAGACTCACAAATATGGGCACGGAGGAGTTTCGTCTTTCTATTTGTTCGGAACGTAATCCAAGATATTTTGATATGGATCTACCCTCCGTAGTCTTCGAGCCGGGATCACTCCAACATTTGCATGTGTATAGATTCAAGTTGGACCGAAAGGCTGTTGAAAGGATAGTACTCTTGAAGAATCTACGATCACTTCACCTCCAAGAAATCAACATTGAGGACGAAGAGGTTTTCAGAAGATAATCTCGAACTGCCCTTCGATTGAAACGATGCGTATTGAAATTTGTGAGGGGTCAAGAAACATTAATGTGGGTAATCTTCGTCGTCTCAAGGACTTTCATTCATCGGGTTTTAACTTAGGCGTAGCAAATAGGGAACGCTGTAGCTTTGAAATATGTCACCAATCTATTAAAACCATCTTCATTAACCTTCTGTTTCACAACGGTGCGGAGTTTCGTTTTCTCGATGTGTTACGCGGTGTCAGATTGTTGCCAGAAAACTTGTCATCGTGTAAATTCCCAAGTCTCAAACGTCTGGTTCTCGACCATTGTGATGGATTCGAAGTAATCGAGCTACTTATCGATGCCCCAAAAATAAAATCATTTGAATACAGAGGAGACTTTGTCCCATCCATCACTTTCGCGAACGCGCTGAACGAGTGGGATTCACATATATATGTGCGTTCGACCGATGCATCTTCTTCTTTGTGGTTCATCAAGCTAAACGAACTGCTCAAGTCATTAGGCCAATCGAATATTCGTAGTCTGGCCATTCGTTATATATACCATCCCTG